TTAAGTGTCGTGTGATCGCTTGATGAGGGAAAATCGAAAGGAATTCTTGACGTAATTTGTCCGTCTTTTCATAATATTTCGTCTGTAACAAATAATGACGCATGCAGTTGTGAAACAATAACGTTTGTACTCTCTTCTCAGTGCTACTTACTCGGCGACTTGTAACGCCACTAAATCGATGTCAACAAAATCGTCTTCTGAGTTAGATTCTTCTTCTTCAGCCAGAGTGTCAAGGATTCCTGGTGTAAAGATAAATAAAAAATTCCTTTTTTTTTTTCAAAACAATTGGTTGTTTTTCTAAACTTATTTTAATTATTCGAAGTGACGGAAGGTTAGCAAATTAGTAGCGTTGTGTGCTGCATGTAAAACACTCAAAGAAGGTAAAAAAAATTGCTCCTTATTCTCTTTTAAGTTACACAGAAAGTGCTGCATCAGTCTTTTGTCACTCATAAAAATGGCCGAGTGACATCCATAATTTGAATATATGAAAATCATCTATGCGTACTGCAGTTTAAAGAAGTGTATGAACGGCAGTCCTCGCAGTAATGAACACTACTTATGAAATAATAAAAATACGGCCTGAAAAAATTCAGGAATTGGACTGATACGACTCTTGAAATGAATAAAAAAATACTTCTAATAAATAAAAAATACTTACGAAGTTTGGCTCTAAGTATGTCGAGCATTTCCTCATAATACGCAATACTATCTTTAAGATTTCCAACCACGTGACTTAAATTTCCCAAATTCGCCAGTGCCTTTCCAATGCCATTTTGGTCATTTAGTTCCTTAGCGACCGCAAGCCTCTCCTTGTTGCAGTTAAGCGCATCTTCGTAATTCATTTCCAGCTCAAAAATGTTTCCAAGATTATTATAGATCTTTGCCAACGGTCGCTTTTCGTCTCGTTCCTTTGCGATATTCAAAGCTACTAGAAAATGCTCTTTCGCCATTTCTAAGTCACCAGTAATTTTATACAAACATCCCAGGTTACTCTGGGCTCTTCGCTCGCCCTTTTCATCCTTTAATTCTTGTGATACGGAGAGGTGTTTTCCATGGTATTCTTTCGAAGTTGCATAATTTCCCAGTTTATAATAAGCAAGGCCAAGAAAACTCAAGGCGTCCGCTTCGGCTTCTTGGTCATTTTCCTCGATGGCATCGGCGAGACAGTCCCTCAATTCTCTTATCTTCTCGTAAATCTCATCTTCAGATTCTTCGACAACTCTAAAATTTTTTGGGTCGTTTTCTTCCATAAACCTTATGCCTTTCACATAATATTCATTGCTGTTCGCTTCCTAATTCGAAATCACTTTGCGAATGCTTACAAACGGCCTAAATGGGTCGTAAAATGCTTTATGTTAGTTTATAATTTTCATCCAATCAAATTGTTAGATTTCGTCGTTTAGCAGGTGGTAAACTCTGAGCGTTCAGCTTTCAATCATGTCACTCTGCGGCTTAGATTACCATATTCAAAGTCAATACAGGTATCGCATTAAACAGACACAGTCATAATTACTTTTGTCTCTTAGCACAGCAATATAATCGGCAGAAAAACTGGACTGATAGAAAGTTTCTCGGCTAAATAAACGAAAATTTGTGTCTAACACGTGAGAAATTTCCATAACCAAAGAAATGAAATGAGAGCATAATGGAAAGAAAGTCAGTGATCCAAAAATTCCTTTTTTTTTTTCAAAACAATTGGTTGTTTTTCTAAACTTATTTTAATTATTCGAAGTGACGGAAGGTTAGCAAATTAGTAGCGTTGTGTGCTGCATGTAAAACACTCAAAGAAGGTAAAAAAAATTGCTCCTTATTCTCTTTTAAGTTACACAGAAAGTGCTGCATCAGTCTNTGTACGGGATTCGAACCACTGACCTCTGCGATACTAGTGCAGCGCTCTACCAATTGAGCTAACAAGCCAACTGGGAGCAGGCCGTTAAGTTGATTCGTAATAAACCCGTGAAAGTGATAAATGAGATACAATGAAATATATGAAGTTCATATATTTTGTACTGCGGTATTAGATACATATGATGCACGATCCTCGCAGTAGATAGCGCTATTTAAGCAATAGCGAAAATCAGACCTGAAAAAAATCAGGCCTGTACGGGATTCGAACCACTGACCTCTGCGATACTAGTGCAGCGCTCTACCAATTGAGCTAACAAGCCAACTGGGAGCAGGCCGTTGAGTTGATTCGTAATAAACCCGTGAAAGTGATAAATGAGATACAATGAAATATATGAAGTTCATATATTTTGTACTGCGGTATTAGATACATATGATGCACGATCCTCGCAGTAGATAGCGCTATTTAAGCAATAGCGAAAATCAGACCTGAAAAAAATCAGGCCTGTACGGGATTCGAACCACTGACCTCTGCGATACTAGTGCAGCGCTCTACCAATTGAGCTAACAAGCCAACTGGGAGCAGGCCGTTAAGTTGATTCGTAATAAACCCGTGAAAGTGATAAATGAGATACAATGAAATATATGAAGTTCATATATTTTGTACTGCGGTATTAGATACATATGATGCACGATCCTCGCAGTAGATAGCGCTATTTAAGCAATAGCGAAAATCAGACCTGAAAAAAATCAGGCCTGTACGGGATTCGAACCACTGACCTCTGCGATACTAGTGCAGCGCTCTACCAATTGAGCTAACAAGCCAACTGGGAGCAGGCCGTTGAGTTGATTCGTAATAAACCCGTGAAAGTGATAAATGAGATACAATAAAATATATGAAGTTCATATATTTTGTACTGCGGTATTAGATACATATGATGCACGATCCTCGCAGTAGATAGCGCTATTTAAGCAATAGCGAAAATCAGACCTTAAAAAATTCAGGCCTGTACGGGACTCGAACCACTGACCTCTGCGATACTAGTGCAACTATTTTTTTTTTCGATGTTGATTTTTCCGCTCCACTGCACTTTTTCGTTGGCCATATTTTCTCGTCAATTTTTAAACCTAAAACCACATTTGTTATTGTCGTGGACCATTTTTTTTTATTTGAAGTAAAGTTTTATTTATTCGACCACACATTTTTAATCTCACTGTTTATTTCTCCGAGTAAGTCAATTATTTTTTTTAGACTTTTTTTGTCCGTAACGAAACGCCATAGAATGGAGAAAACGGCAAAACAGACTGAAACTCTCTACTCATATGAACAGCTAAGAATAAAATACTTGATTTAAGGCTATGATATTCACTTTCAATTGCTATATGCATCGGATTCGTGTTAATTTTTATTATGTCAATGTCTTGATGGTCACATGTACACAACAGGATGGCGCGATCTTTTTGTCTTTCTTCAAGATTTTAAAAAAATTGTAAAAAATTCCAAATTCATTTCCCCAAACTAAACTGTACATATTCTGAAAGAGCATTAACTCTAGTATTATCATTCGTAATCTTACGAAATTCTGAAAAGGCACATGCTAAAAATTATCGTTGATTTTCGCCTACCGTTTTACGCAACACGGGAGAGCCATAAGCTTTTGACTTCTCTTGAATACTGGAATTAATCTAATCTTTATGAAATCACGGTGTTTAGACAATGACAAGTAGTACAACAACTTGGAACTGTGATAGCTTTCTCAAGCGCAGTTTTTGTGATACACGAGTCGAGTGATTCATGACCTATTTTAAACCTGTTCGGTGTCGCCAAATCGATCCCCGGACTGAAAACGAAACGTTTTCGTTTTTTCGGAAGCAAATAATTTTTTGAAGGAAAAAACTGCACACCAATTGTCTACTTTCTAAAGGCTACTTGTATACAAAAGAAAAGCGAATTTTAGTTTTTCAACTTTCCCATGCAATGTTTGATTTTTGCACGGATTTGCTCTGAACAACTGTTTATAATCATTTACATTCTCATTATTTCGCAGTTCATGTCTTTATATAAATTTTCTGAAGACTGAAGACTGCAGTTCGGGCAGTCTAAAGCTCGAAGTTTTTAATCATTTTAGCCAGAGATCGTTTTTAAATTTCAACTATGTTTCATCCTGGCTGCGGCCCTTCAATATTTTCACCTCTCAATTTTGCCATTTTTTTGTCCGCCAAAATGAGTGAAACATTGGGAAAANATTTACGGACGGCCGCTCTTAAGGACCAAATTGTGTTTCCTCCTTTGGCCACCGCTTTAGACCGTAGATATCATCTCCAAAAACACTTAAGGACCAAATTGTGTTTCCTCCTTTGGCCAAGCTAAAACTTAATTTTTCAAGATGAATATTATCATTATGATGTCATTTGACTGGTATGAATGGCTTAATGGTGGGAATTGTAGGAAAAGTTTAAAATCTTAATTTTTAATGTAGTTTGATTGTTTGTATGTGACTTTTTGCCGCAAGATGTTGAGCAAGAAGATGTTGAGTCGGAAGGTATTAGATGGGGAAATTAAATAGTCTAATAAGATTTTGCGTTGCCAGTGTATGAGGCCATCAGATTGGCAAAAAGTAGGCTAGCCTTGTTTCATTTTCAAGAATTCGGCAGTTTTTGGCGTTTAAATTTTCCCTTCGTATTAAAAATTAAAGTATTTCTCAAGACAATAAAATAATCAACATCAGTTTTCCGACCTAACTTAGAAATATCTCTCTCTCAGTGTATTTTTAAATTGAATGATCTGGACTACTTTGGTTGTACTTTACCTCGCTCTTTGATTGCTCTTGAAAACTCACGCCACTATCTAAACCAACCACATGCAAAATACAATCGTTTTCCCGCGCCTCAAGCAGGTTGCCTGTTTTCACTTTTCATTGGTTAATGGTGATGGTAACATTTGTTCTGAATGGTAGCTGTGATTACCTTGGTTTCGGTTTTTCGGGCAATTCTCTTTTGAAGGACGGGTTTGTATTCCTCTCACATACCAGAGACCTAAATGCACCCACAATGCAAATTACGTATGAACAGACTTGGGGATCAAGGGAAGCTGGCAGGGGATGTAAGAGGTGATTTGCGTTATGTCCAAGCAGGATATACTTTCCCTTCCATTTAATGGGCTAATCTCTGTTATTCGATAATTTGGTGCTATCAAATGAGTTCAGTATGTAAATTGGCCACTTTGAAGGATTTCTAAAGCTCCCGTGACCAATTTACATTTATTATTAACTCAGTTAATAAAACCAAATTGCATGTATCTTGTAATACCCATCCATGGAGTCTGTGAAGAGATTCTTGGTGAGCCTTAAACTAATTTAATGTCATCCAGATCACCAAGGACAAAGTCAACATCACAGGACATCTTGGTCCTGAAGAGCATGGTGCACATTATGGAGCTCTTCAAATCAGCCTCCTATAATTTCTAAACAAACTTTGAATGCGATTAAACGTTTTACAGGTTTTGTCAATAGCTCACTGGAAATAAAGGATTTCTAAAGCTTCCATGGCCAATTTACTTTTCTAAAGCAGTTAATAAAACTAAATTGCATGTATCTTGTAATACCCATCCATGAAGTCTGTATAGAGATTTTTTGTGAACTTTAAAGTAATTTAATGCCAACCAGATCAGCAAGGACTAAGTCACCATTACAGATATCTTGATCCTGGAGAGCATGATGCACATTATGGAGCTCTGCAAATTAGCCTTCCATCATTTCTAAAAAAATACAAAAAAAACATAGGTCCGCAATGCGTACATGTGTGGCTTACGAAATTGATTTGCTTTTTAGTGTCTGGTGTCTTATTGAGTTTCTATTAGAAGAGCTAATATTTGATTAAGGTTAGATAGTTTTCAATATTGTTCCTGTTCATCTATAAAATAAGATAACTAGTATAAAATAGTCCCGAGAAGTTCATTTTCAAGGTGAGGGTTAATGGCCAAACTTTGTTATAGAGGCCTCATTTTTACAACAAAGGTTGCAGATGTAACCTGAGGATTTTAGGAACAACAAAAATACGTCAGCATCATCTCCCATAGTGGCCTAATAGTTTCAGTCATGATTTGGTTTACGTAACGAAGTGGAATTGAGATCTGAATTTTGTAGTTTGATTGTCTTTTCCGAGACGAGTGATGTGAAATTAACTCTAGGGAAGCATTTCCTATTAATATCTTTGGCATTTTGTGTACCAGCACATGAGGACAGAACTTTCCAGAAGGGTCAGGACATTCGGGAAATGATGTAATCTCCACTAGGAGCCATTGGGAGCTTGATTTGGTTTGAATGTATGACTAATTTTGGACAATACATACATGTAAGTAACACAGTGCTGAACATAGGTATCTATTGTCCATCAGGGCACAAAGTCCTATTTTCAGTTGGTTGAGAGCAAAGTATTTACTCTAATTATTGTATTTGGGTTTTCT